CTGCTGGCAAAGCCAGGTTTTGACGGCTTTTCGGAAGGCCTGGAGAGAGGTGAGGGTCCGAATCCCTGCGGGGATTCCCAAGCGGCTGCCTCTTTCCTTAGATCTGGGGGGCTCTGGGCTCGCCTTCATTGTCAGCTCTGCCGTTTCCCTCTGCTGCCTCTGGTGGGTTTCTCCTTGCTGGTCAGGAGGGAAGGGGAGCATCAGTGCTGCCGGCCCAAGTTCACGTCTCCTCCAGGGAAGCGATTCAAGGCGTTCCTTCAGCTCTGATCCTCTTCCTCCGGTGCTGCACCAGAAGAGTCGCCCTGCTCTGGCTCCTTCCAGCCGTCCTTTTAAAGTCCCTTTGGGGAAGGGAGGCAGATGGAAGTGCTGGGAAGACGGCCGGCCTTCTCTCCAGCTGGAGGCTGAGAACCAGGGAGGCCTCCTCCAGAGCACCAGCCTTGCACGAATTAAAGGCCCAGCCTTATGCGCCTCAGAAGGGGCAGAGCCAGCCACTGCCTGCCTGGCCTTCTAGATTGATGGGACTGCATTTCAGGGCTTATAGAGTTGTAAGCAAAAGTGAATCTTTGCTCAGACCGGTTGAAGATGATTGGATTTATTATTACATTTATATGCCACCCTTTTCCCCGAAGGGGACTCAGATGAGTCACGCTCAGCTCTTGGCATCTGAATGCTGAGGCAATTCCCTCGTTCCCTGCTCCGAATATGTTTGGCTGACTTCGTCCCTGAAACCTCTGTGGGTTCTCCTGCTTTAATATCTGCGCCTTGCTTGGAAACGCTGTTAGTGCCCTTCGTAAGAGAGCCCGAGCGGTCAGACAGCCAAGCTTTATTATTTATTGTTACACAATAAATGTTTAGGAGCACCTCCTTCCTGAAACTCCCTCCCTCCTCTTGGTCCAGCATCCAGACTGGATTGCCCCTGGGTGGCTGCTGTGCCCATGGCTCAGAGAGGGTATCTCTGGCATCTCTGCCCATCGCCTCTGAGCTTCTGCCGTTTCTCTTCTGCAGGGATGGGGACCACGGACCACGTCATCGTGCTGGCGTCCACCAACCGAGCTGATATCCTGGACAACGCCCTCATGAGACCCGGGAGGCTGGACCGCCACATTTTTATCGATCTGCCCACTCTGCAGGTATCCCAGTGGAAGTGGAGGAAGGGGCCCCTCTGAGCCAAAAGCCTCCGACTCTGTCCAGCCACTCACCTGCTTGGACGGCCCACTTTCCTTCTGGCGCTTATTCACTCTGAGCCATGGGACCCAGGTGTTTGTTTAAAGCCAGGAGCATGAACGGTTTGTTGCTCCTGTCCTTCTGGCTGAGGAAGATGGGTCCACAAAGGGGGTTGGAGCCTTCCTTGCTCTTTCCCAGAACCAGCCGGAGAAAAGGGGGGCAGGGCCCCTCCTGCGCTTCTCTCTCTCTCGGGCTCCCCTCATCCAAGGAGAGCAGGAGCTCCTTCCCCCTCTCCTGGCCCAGCTGCCCTTTCTGGCTCTTCCCTCTTTTGGCCTGAAATCCCTCAGATGCCTGGTCTGGAGCTGGAGCCGCGCAGCTGCCCTGAAGGGGAAAGGAGCAGGAAATCCTGGCAGCTGAGCCCCGGGCTCTAATCAGGGCTATTGTGAGCAGCCACATGAGTCACACTCTGGCACAAGGCCAACCTGACTTCCCCCCCCCCGCTCCCCCCATTTCCTTCCTTTCATTCACGCATCGAGGGAAGGGGGGTGGGCGCTTGTGAGTCTGCTACCTTGGTGCTAGCGGGGCGATGGTGAAACGGTTGGAGATGCACCGAATTCACCCAAAAGGGGAAAAATGGGGTTGGCCATCTCAGCGGGCTTTTCCCCCCTTTGCTCTCTGGCTCAGGGCCCGTTGCGCCCGAGACATCCTGCCAGACGCGCTCTGCATTTAAGCCCGTCCCGGGGGCCTTTGGGGAGCGCAGGGTCTGCCCTTCTTTGCCCTCCAGTTCTTGGGAGGCTCTGCTGGCTCCCCAGCAACACTTTCGCTCTGCTCTTTGCAGGAGAGGAGGGAGATCTTCGAGCAACACCTGAAGGGCCTGAAGCTCTCCCAGCCCAGCAGCTTCTACTCCCAGCGCTTGGCTGAACTCACCCCAGGCTTCAGCGGTATGTGGGGGGGGTTACAAGCCCCAGCTTCTCCAAGCCCAGAGCTACGGGGATCTTCCCTCTTGGAAGAGAGAGCAAGGCGTCTCTCCCAGCCAAGCCCCATTCTGGGGTGGCTGCCACTTTGCTGCTCTCCGCTCTGCCTACACACACACACACGCCCAACTCAGAACAGATGTTCCTCCGCTTGCCCAGTCACATCAGAGCCACCCCAGGCCACGCCAGCCTGGTTCTCCCGGCTCCCCCGCCCCCCCCCCCTTTTCCTGGGAGCACCCTGTGTGGTTGGGCCCAATTAACTCCTTGCTGCCCAGATGTGGAGCACCTCTGTGTGGGCAGCCAGGCCTGCGGTTTGAATCCTGCTTAGGCAGCACAATCTCCCTGCTTGAAAGGCCTGCTTCTCATTTGCAGAAACCTCCTTCCAACCCACCTCCAGGTTCCCACTGCCGAGGGCTTGCTTCCCTTTTCCTTTGGCGGAACCTCTTATTTTCCCGGTTTTTAGCATTTAAATAAAATGCCACGGTTGGTTTTTTTTAAAAAGGCATTTAGAGGAAAATGCCAGGATGCTGGTAATGAATGAGGTTCAAGGAGGGAAAGAAGAGAAACACCTTCCAAGGCAGAGGGGGGGTGCAGGGGGTGCTAGCAGTAAAGAGCCTGTGAAATCCCTCAGCTGCAGAGACCCTTCCCCAGGATGGGGAGACCCTGATCCAAATTCCACTTGCCTTTGAACTGGGCACCAGGCTCAGCCTTTTAAGAGCCGAGGTGGCGCAGTTGTTAGAGTGCAGCACTGCAGGCTACTTCAGCTGACTGCAGTTCTGCAGTTCGGCTGTTCTAATCTCACCGGCTCAGGGTTGACTCAGCCTTCCAT